TTATTTTTGTCCCTTTTCCCCCACCCTGTCTTCTGACCAATGACATTTTTATTTTCCTTTGTCTTTTTCTTTTTCCAATCATGGCAGATTTCAGAGAAAAGAGAAAATGAAAAAAAAAAAAGACAGGAAACCAGATGTTATAAAGCAATTTAAAATGAAGAAAAAACTTATGTACAAACCAAGGGGTGTTTTTAGAACCTTGTATAGAAATAAATTCATGTAAAAGGATCAGAGGCAGTGGAGCTACTGATGTGAGCGAGCATGGGAAAAGCTATTTGGAGAGATATTAGAGGCCAGTACTGAGGGTTTACACTAGAGTTTCTATATGTGAAAAACGAATGCTGTGTGGTGAGACTGTATCCCCAGCCACAGAAGGGAACAGCTTTGATATATCTGAAGTGAAATCTTGGTTGATGAGATTTTCTACATACAAATCTTAAGGGGACTGCATTGCCTAAATATGTGACAGCAAGGTTTCAGTTGTGTTAAGACCACTAAGCTTCTTAACAAAGAACAGCAAGCATGGCCTCTTGAAAGGACCTGTACTCCTGCCTGAGCATCAGTGGGCTCAGTGCTAATTCTGTTTGGCATGCGTCTATATACATGTATCTTCATTATACTGTGGCACCTAAAACCATAGGTTTCCAGTGGTGGGAACCATAACCAGGATTGAATAACATTGCAGGACAGTTTTCTGATGGTCAGAAAACCTGGACATCAGCCCTGGCTCTTCTATCAACCAGTGTTGGCCATGATGCATCTTCAGGTGTTAAATGAAGGGATTGGACTAGACTATCTCCAAGATTTCTTTCTGAGAATTAAACAAGAAACCTTTAAGCCCTAGCCAGTTTGGCTCAGTAGATAAAGTTGGCCTGCGGACTGAAGGGTCGCGGGTTCAATTCCAAAAAAGGGCACATACCTCAGTTGCAGGCTCCATCCCCAGTCAGGGCAGTGTGGTAGGCAACCAATTGATGTGTCTCTCTCACATTGTTTCTGGCTCTCCCCATCCCTTCCACTCTCTAAAAAAATCAATGGAAAAATATCCTTGAGTGCAGATTTAAAAACCCCCCAAAAACATTTAAGCACTGAAAGTGACAAACTTCCCACACCTGATAACATGGCTATCCTATGGGACTGCTTGGCAACGGTGCTCATTACCCAATGGCATGAGATACTCGAAATGTTACCCACTTAATTTATGGTTCAGTCTCGTGTGGGTATCCAAGGTAGTCTCCACCTGTGGCGTGACAGAACGGATATCACGTGACCAAATATGCCAATATTGGTTAGCTTCCTGAGTACTAACTGCCCCCCACCCCCACCAACAGTTGAAAAGACCTCTATAGCCCTGCCTTCATCACAGGTATTAGAACCAGAATCTACTTTTTAAAAAAGGATATGCTCAACTCAGCAACAACTCTATGAAGTGGGTACTGTTATTCTCATTTTATAAGAAAGGAAACGGGCACAGAGCTGAAATTACTTGCCCAGGGCCCTGACACTTCAGCGTGAAGTCTGGGTTCCATTGCCATGTCTTACCACGTGCTCAGTGGAGAATGGGGTTTCACCTAATACTTCTTCACATATTTGGTCTAAATTATGTGGTTTGAAACCTGTTTCATTAAAAACCTACTATGTAACATTGATGATCATCAAGCATGTGTGAGTTAGGGGTGACAATGATGTCCAAAACATTGTCTTGCTGACATCGCTGTTAGGTTACGGGTTTTGCGTTCTGTTTCACTGGTGTGGTCCAGCCCGTCCGCACTCGATCGCTTTCCATGCTGACGAAAAGCACAGCTTTAATTGTACTGCAGCTGAGTAGGGTGATGGCTGGCGTCTCATAGGCCGGTTGCCACAGCTCCATGTTCCAATCTTTTCAGAATCCTGGTGCTAGTTTACATCATCAATAAACTCGAATAAAAAGGGAGACAAAACAAGAGGGGAAGGTCATTTTATGTGAGAACGTATTTTAATGTAAAATAGACAAGAATCCTGACAAAAAGTGTCGATAATTACAGATTTATTGTCAGGATTATTGATTTATTTGTATGTATAAGCAAAGTGGATACACAATCTACTTTTTCCATGTTAAAAAAAATCGGAGAGTTGGTATACGTGTGAGTGAACACAAATGCTGATGTTTTAATCTCATAACACTCGATTTGCCTCCCCAACTTCCTTCAGAAACTAGCAACCTTAGAGAAAGTTCCCACTCAGCTGGGATCAGCTCTAGTAACCAGATTTCTATTTTGCAAAAGGGATGAATGATCCCCCGGGTGCTGAAAAGGGATATTTATGAGAAATCATCCAAGAGACAGGTATTTGTGGGTGGTTTTTGTTTGTTTTACCTCATGACCGCACACTCCCGTTGTGGAGGGAGAAAAAAGTTCGATGGAGGATGCAAAATGGCGAACTCGGTGACGTCATGACCGCCACGGTCGGTCGCGTATCGGGGCTCAGTGAGGGCGGAAGCGGGCTCCAGCCGCTTCAGGGCGCCTCGGCGGGCGGCCCTGGATACTTACGCAGAAGGACGAGTGTCGACATCGGACCGCTGTGTCCCGGCGGATAATTCACTAAGGGCGGAAGTTCTCCTCTTAAGGGCGGAAGGGCCCAAACCCAAGAATAATAGCTGCGGCGCCTGTCGCGTTTCAGTCACTTCCGGGGTGGATCGGAAGTTGCTTTGTTTTGCTTCAAGATGGCTGCGGGGATGTATTTGGAACATTATCTGGACAGTAAGAGCACTCTGGAGGAGGGGGTCAGGGGTCACAGCGTGGTGGGGCGGGGGCGGGCTGAGGGGATCTAAGGCCCCGAGGTCCCGGTGGTCAGAAGGTCACCATTGTGCAGGGGCTTCCGGAGAGAAACATTGAAGGGTGTGAAGAAGGAGGGGGCGGGGCAGCAGGGTCGAACCCGGACTTTTGGGTGCCAGGTGAGGGAGGGGCTGCGCGGTGGGGCTGAGGGATGTGGCTTGAAGAGAAAATATTTGCTGGCCCCGTCTTCAGGGTCTCCAACCTCTGGGTATATGTTTTCCTCAAAATCATTCCGAATCTTTCTTCCTTTGTGCAGACTATAAATCTGCTCGTTTTAGCATTTCACTCACTGCCATTTGGAGCAGCGACAAAGATCTCGCGGCTCCTCCGCTTAGTTCTTTCTCAGGAGTGGCTTCTGGTGGGGGTGGGGGTTATGGGCGACACTGTCAGATGAACTGGAAGGCTTCTCTTCTGGGAGTAAAGATCCAGTTCCCATCAAATGGAAATCTGGGTTATGTTTGTACCATTTATGTGACCCACCCCTTCACAAAGCCTGTCACCCCGTGCGCTTACATTTGTCTTAGTGTTGGGAGTCATTCAACCATTCATTCATTCATTCATTCATTCACTTATTGAGGGTCTGCGATGGTTCAGACAGAGTAGCAGGTACTGGGGATATAAAAAAATGAATAAGACAGCCCTTATCTTCAAGTGCTCATCGTCTAGGAAACAGATTCCGCTAATAAATATAAAAGTGTGGCAAGTGACATACTAAAAATACATGAAAAGGACACTTGGTAACACTGGAGAAAGAGAAGCTAATGATGTAGAGTCTTGAAAGTCAAGTATTTTGCAGTGTGGAAAGAGGGAATTGAGGTTGGGAAGAGCATCAGCAAAGGTATATGGGTTTGTGAGGTCAAGAGTTTGATATGTAAGACTCTGAGGCAGTGGTTCTCAACCTTCCTAATGCCGAGACCCTTTAATACAGTTCCTCATTACTGTATTAATGAGGTGACCCCCAATTTCATTGTTACAAATTGAACATAATTAAAGCACAGTGATTAATCACAAAAAAATATGTAATTATATATGTGTTTTCCGATGGTCTTAGGTGACCCCCGTGAAAGGGTCCTTCGACCCCCCGGTTGAGAACCGCAGCTCTAAGGTGAAAGAATGGGAAATGAGACCCAAGAAAGAGGCGGGGCTATCAAGGTCTTTTAAAAACAAGCTAAGAAGTTTGCGCTTTAGTGAGGAGCCAACAGATTTTTTTAAATGGAGTGATTTTTATAAAGGAAAACAACTGATATATGATCGACTGGAGCATGATAGCCTTTGTAATAGGGAGCTCAATTAGTAATAACAGTCCAGCTCAGAGCTGAGGACCTCATCTCAGGGAGTGACAGAAATATTTAGGAGTTAATAATGACAGGACTGACTGAATGAGTAAATGGTTAAGGGAGAAGGAAGGATCTAAGGTGACTTCTTAATTCCCTGTTTGGGAAGTGAAGTAGGTAGTATGTCATCAACAAGATGTGAAATTCAGGAGTAACAGCAATATGGTTAATTCCATTTAGACTTAAGTATAGGAATGATCATTATATCCAGGAGAATGAATGAGCTCAAGATCGTTCAGGAAAAAAAAAAAAAAGTGAGAAAATGAGAGGGCTTGAGAGTAATCTCAAGAAAACATTAACATGTAAGGGACAGGCTATGGAAACACCAGTGTGGGAATTACCAGTAAGTATATGATAAGAGATTCAGAATCCTAAGAGGAAGAAAGCTACTCAAAGCAGAGAAGATGGTACCAACTGCTGCAGACATATTTTAGGATAGGACTGATAACATCATTTGCTTTCATAAGTCATTGGTGACTTAAAGTAATCTCAGTAAACTGGTGGTAGCCGATCTGAGGTTATAGGTTAAAGCAGTGGAGGCATTTTAAAATTTGAAGTATAGTCATGCAAAGAGATTTTTCTTTTATGGGAGAAACTTAAGAATTCATGCATTTCTACAAG